GATATACATGTAGACGCTAATTTATTTCACACGTTCGAAATACTGCTTCAAGGTCACGATATTGAAACATTATGTGTAAATAAACAGACACACGAGGCTGAATGAAAATTTAAAAATAAAAAACGGATAATAATTTATAAAATAAAAAAACATAAATTATGTTAATTCTGGAATTTAAAACTAATCAATTAATTATTTTATTTTATTACTATTATTCCGGAATTCTCAGAAAAAATAGGTACGTATTTATTTATACCACTAAAAAAAAACTTTTTTCTAAATAGGCATATTCTTATCACACTTTCTTTAGAGGTAACTAACTTGTAAATTTAAAAAGAATTTATAAGTACTTATCTTTGGATCTCTTTTTCTTTGATTCTTTCAAACAGTGCTATACTATTTACTTTCAAAATTTGTGGTCAGTAATGCTCAGATTTTCAAAATATCCATTTATTGTCCATTTTGATACATCGACTAATCTTCACTGTGATTCTTATTGCTGTTGTTTGTTTGTTTGTTTGTTTGTTTGTTATTACAAGTAATTGGAAAAACTCCTTGGTGGGCAAAAGCAGCTTTGAAAAAATATTTGGAAATTACAAAAATCATGCCAATATTTACATCGATGTGTTATCAGCATTACACGATATAAAATTGTCTGAAAACATGCCGCCAGATGTCCGTGTGAAGGCCTTTACCATGCTTACACAATTTATAGATTATGAAATGCTAGTAACGGCTCAAATTTTTGCAAAATTATTTTCAATTATTGGTCTTGTCTCGAAATATTTGCAAACTAGCGGATTAGACTTACTAAGATGCCACGAAATGATTATGAATTGTAACATCACAATTAAAGTCTATAAAGTCTATAAGTCGCGACATGAGTGATATTGAAACATTTACGCAAACGTTAATTGCATGGAAGATGAAAGATGAAGAAATCGACATACCAATTTCCTTTCCCGAAAAGGGAACAAGAAAACGAAAGAAAATGGCTGTAGAATTGGCGGAAGATGATTCCATAAAACATAGTCTAAAAAACTATGAAGTTGAAACCCATAATATAATTTTAGATAAAATTATAAATTCTATACAATATAGATTTAAGAAGAATGGTGAGCTTTATAACGATATTGCCTTACTGTCTCCAACAAATTTTGATGAAGTTAAACAAGGAGTACCATTAAATAGCTTTAAAAAATTGTGTGAATTGCTAGAAAACTTTTACCCAAATATTACAAAAGAAAATCTGCAAGAATAGTTTCGCGAAAAATTGGGATAAATTTAAAGTTTCGCCAACAACAAATGCGGAGAGTAATCAACAATTTCAGAGTAATATTACAGTTATAGATTCAGATGAAACTGATAAAGAAGACAACGATATTTTGAAAGAGAGATGGTGGTTTTGATGTTAGTAATAAATAATGTAAATCTTGTCTTAAATGTGAAATTTGCTATTATTCTGTCATTCAAAAGTACAATATGTACAGTGAGGCATATTCTGCACTAGGAAATGCTTACAAATATTTATTAACGTTATCAATAAATCAACTGCAATGTGAAAGAAGTTTTTCCAAGTTAAAATACATTAAAAATAGATTGCAGAATTCAATGTCGAATAAGAATTTGGATGCTTTTATGTTATTGGATTGTGCGAATGATATTTTATATAAAATTGACTCTGATAACATTATAGATATGCTTATGCAGCAAAGCAAGTTATTAAATAGATTTTTAAAGAAGTTGTAAGTTCGGTAATCGTTTATAACAAACCTAACTTTTTTTTGTGAGAGTATGTTACTAGTTATTACTGACTAACCTACAATTTTAATCTAAAAATCTTATAACTAATTACTTATCTAAGAAGTCCCCACTGGGCTGTCTTAATTGTTTCTATAGGAAAGCATCACAAGACGGCGTGACGATTTATTACACTGTTTTACACTAGCACTTACATTAACATTCACTGCCTAGCTCAAATGGCTTCTTCCTTTTGAGCCACAGAACAATTACTTTTAGAATGGAAACTGCAATGTTAAAATTTGAGACAGTATTGTAACACCCGGTGAGCGTTCTTTGAACTATTTGGCGGAAGTGGCGCCATCTCGCGGTCACTTTAGTTAACACAAAACGCTGGAACATTCAAAATGGTCCTTCAATATTTAGTTTAAAAGTGGTAGTCAAATTAAGATTTGTTCATACCAACTCCTTTTTTACGTTTATTGTAGCAATAAAATTATATTTGTTACAATAAAGCAAAAAATGAGTAGTATGAACCAATCCTAACTTGACTACAAGTTGAAATATTTTTACAAAAAATTAAAAAGCATGATCAACAAAATTAATTTATTAAAACAAAAAAAAACATACAAAATAGAATAATTAAATGTAGCGTGTTAATTAGCTGGAAAGTTAAGTCATTGTCCACAGAGGTTGAAGAGTTTTATCTAAAACAAAAAATAAATATTAATCAACTTATAAATCAAGAAGGGTACAGGAAGAAAAAAGCAGCTAAGCCACATTTTTATCAAAATTGAACTGGTCCGCTCTATTTTGTAAAATACCAGTATTAGCAAATGCAAAACAATGCATTTAAAATTATGTCCAAGGACTTTCCTACTGTTTGTTTGTCATTTCAGTATTTAGAATAAAAAATTACAACTGTCTGGTAAATTAAGTGGTAAACTACAATATAATCAGGCAACATTTAAACAAAGTAATATCTTTTTGTAATCAATTACCTTAAAGTATCAAAAGTTTGTATTTAGTCAGTCTAAATTAAATTTGGTTTTCTGAACATTTTGGTAATTGTGACTAGGCCCCTTTTTTTCCTGAACCCTTCAAATCTATTGGGGAGCACAGAAAGTGAGGCATAAATAAAAAAGGTATACTGACCATTACTTCCCGGACTAGGCTATTTTGTCTTCCACAATCCAATATTGCCATTCCAAACGGCTTGAAGAAAGTTTGTACTAGAACAAATAAAAAACAGTAAAAGTAACAATCTGAACTAAATCAATATAAAAATCAAATGTGAGGCATTAATACAAAAAGTACAGTGACTATTACTTCCCTGACTAGGCTGTTTTTGTCTTCAACGATGCAACACTGCCACTCCAAACGGCTTGAAAAAGTTTGTACTAGAACTAATAAAAATACAGTTAGATCGCTGCGTGCACCAAGAACTTTAACATATCTTCAAAATGTTTATCACATACTAAATAGTTTTTACAAATTTGTTGTTTTATTCTTGAAAAATGGACTGCGAACACCCAATACTCAAATTTGAAATAAATCGTTATTAGGATTTCAGAGTGTTTACAAAACAATTTGGCATACAACAATACGATATATTACAGCTTTTATAACTAAAAATGACCACAAAAATTTAAAATAAGCTCAATCGTCAGCAAGATCAAGTAAACAAATTAAACATTTAAAACACAATTGAACAAGACCAAGTTGACAATACAATAAACAATTATTTACAAAATACTTACTATTTATTCATCCAGGATCCAGAGCACACCCAAATACAAACAAATAATAATTATTGACAATATGATATTGATAATCACAAAAAATACAGGTAAAATGGCAAATATTATTCACCGCGAGGTAATCGATAATGGATGCCTTACAATGACAAATGACACTCCCACTCTTTCCACCATCAATTGTAGATTTCTGTAAATTGTTGTGTACAGCGCCATCTAGAATCTGTTCTTTGAAACAAAAATATAGTTTCAGCTCGGGCTATACCAGTTACCGATACCTGTTTTGAGCCTTCTGTTGAGTGTAGAGTTGTCCAGTAATTGCAGCGCTTCTTCGTTGACGTGAGAGTGGAGTCGACCCTCATATTTCGCAGCAAACCTCTTTATTTCTTCTTCGATTGTTGGCATCTTCAGGTCTCTATGAAGATAATCGTTTCGGTAGAACCAAGGTACATCAACAATGCATCTTAGGACTTTATTTTGGAAAACTTGTAACATGTTGATATTACTCTTGCTGGCACATCCCCATAGCTGTATGCCATAAATCCAGATTGGTTTTAGGATTTGTTTATAAATCAGCAGTTTGTTGTGCACTGACAATTTGGATTTTCTTCGTAGGAGCCAATACATTTTTTTAAATTTATGTTCAAGTTCTTTACGCTTTTTTTATGTGCTCTTTCCATTTAAGTCTTACATCTTTAAACTTTGATTTACTTTTATTTTGGTTTTTTTTGTTGTTTTTGTATGTTTCTATATTTGTATTTGAATGGGAGTCCGGAATTTTTAACTAAAAGAATGTTTTTTGGATAGTAAATGTAATCTGTAACAAACCTATGCTTTATTTAATTTTAAAAGAAAAATCCGTAACACCCTGTAAATGTATTGTGATGTTTGTTTATTTTAAACAACAGTTTATTTATTAATAATTTATTTAAACATTTATTTTATAACACTACTATTATAATTTATATATATTTCGAATGTCTTTAAAATGTTTACTATTTATCTTCACTGTCCATATATCTAATGATTGCCTGTGTTCCTCCACCAATATTTATATACAAAATTAAAATTTTTGGTGGCCTCCAGAACGTTCTCGCCAAAATTAGAAACATTATCCCGTTCTTTCTCGAATAGTAATCGAAAGCTTCTCCTCACATATGTTTGGTCTTAAGAGGTTTAATTACGTATGATAATCGGAGAAGTTGAGCCTCATAGGCCAAATAAGACAGAGAGGGACTTGGAGGATTAGAGCATGACTGAATAATAAAATGGCATATCCGGAAATTAAAAAAGGGCCGACAAATATTTACATTTTCTTATATGCTTGTGTTGAATCACCTCAAACTTTAATATTTGTTATATTGCTCTTATCACATAAAAAATTATTTTATTATCTATTATTTGCTCTAATTCCTGATGAAAAGAAATTGTAAATTTTGCCTAAATATATTAGTTTCTTTTGATAACTTTAAAGAGGTTAATTCACTAATTTTCTTTTCTTTTTCAGGTGTCTGATTTGTACAAACAAATGAAAGAACAAACCTACACACCTACTAGATCTGTAAGCAGTGCAGCAAATTTGACGTCATTGTGCGTTGACATTTCTCCTAGTTCAAGTAACTTTTTTGAGGTAAGAATTGTCATTTTCTGTAACCTACATACAAGGATGATATAAAGTCCGTAGCCTCTACCTTTAACTTTTGAGTAGTTAAAGATTTCACCGAGTAATTTGGGGTTTTTATACTATAGAGTAAAATTTATATTCAAAATAAATATCACGCCAATATCAAGGGATTGAAAACAAAATTGGTCGTTGCGTGAATACGAGTAATTCAAATGTTTTAAAAAACGAGTTTTTTTTATATCTAGCAGATTTAACTGGCACAGACAGTTCGCACTGAGTATATTTGTATCCTTATTTATATATATGTAAAAGAAGAAAGTGAGAGTACCCCATGCAAATTAAGTGTGCCAGTGAAAAACGCTATTAGTTTTATACCTCCCGTGCTATCACTCTAATCCGTCTGTAGCATGCGCTGCAGCCTGCGGCTTTTTGTATCACCATATGAAGGCTAAGTCCTATGGTGACACGGCCCGTGGTGGAACGTTCCAGCAGTCACACATCCACGACGCAACCAGAAAGATAACTGCTTAACTGTTGCGAGAATGTGCTAAAAACGAGGGTTAACTTGAGAATAAAAAAATTATTAAACCCCCGTTTCGTAGGAAGATATTTCTCAAAGTGGCGGGCAATTTATATTTTGAAACTTTCGCTTGTCATTATCTTGTAAGAAAAATAGTAATTTTACTCTAATAGGTATAAATATCCCAAATTATGCGGCAAAAGCTTTACTCCTAATAAAAAATATAATACCAACCATTTTTTAAAGCATCACTAATAAGTGAAGTTAAGAAAATTTTACTTTTTTTTTAATTTCTCTTTTTTTCTAATATTCACATATTACTGGGTTTAATAAATACAATGTTTATGTTAATCCTCAGTGGTGTGCATTTACAGAACCGGTTTTAAAATTATAATCTTTACATTTATAGTGTTTAGTTGTTATTTTCTTTTCATGATTTTTGCAGATTTAAATAAACAGTGTGATGGGACATTACATTAGATTTAATTAGGACTGTGGGCCATGTTCCTTCCCGACCTCGACCTATTCAAATCTATTGTGGATATCCTTTAATCCCTGTCTAGGGTACCTTGTCTAATTCGGTCTTTTGTAGTAGACTCCATAGACTAGGAAGTAATTCTCCAGCGTAGTTAGTTGTCCTTTGTTTTTTCTTCTTCAAGTGAAAGGAATCTCACTCTTGATAGACCCTCGCAGTAGTACAATACGTGTTCTGCAGTTTCCTCTTTTTCCTGACAGAATCGGCACAAGGTCTCTTCTGTCAGACCGATATTATACATATGTTCATTAAGCCTACAATGCCTTGTTAATAGAACTACTAGTACTCTAGTATTTTTTCTATTAAGGCTTAGTAGATGCTCGGTGAGTTTAGGCTATGGTATTTTTAAAAATTCTTTGGCCTGTCTTTGTCCTTGTGAGTTTAACATAAGTTAGCTCTATATAGGGCCCAGTTTTCGGTTGATTTGGCTTTATTAAATAGTGTTTGTTCCACCACACTGTTTTTGTTCTTTGCTGTCTTGTTTTCTACGGACAGTTTTCCTCGTTAGCGTTATAATGGCATTACTTACTTGGTCTACTGCTCGGTCAAGGCTTTGTTTACCTGTTATTTCCACCATACCCTCTTCGAGATACTCTCCAAGTGATGGTGAATACCTTTCCCAGTTCGTCTCTCTAGGGTTTCTATATTTGGTTGAAATTCGAAGTGGGGTAATTAGACCAAATATAATCTGTCTGTGGTCTGAGCACGATAGTTCTTTTGACACATGCCACTTTGAAATGTTATCACCTGCTTTACTCGAGCAAAGAGTCATATCAGGACTTCTTTTCTCGTCGCCGTGACGAAAGTTGGTTTGTTACCTATATTAGCAGTTGCTTAACCTTCAGATATGATGAATTATAATGTGATGGGACATAGAGCTACCACTTATTGCAGATACAAATAAATCGATTGGACCCAATTTATGTATATTCCAAAATGTACCGTTTGTCCATTAGAAGAGTTCAAAGTTTTACTTAAAAAATCACATTTTTGTACGCTTTCAGAAATTCGTATAACAGATTTAATGAAATTTGATAAAAGTACATTTTAGAGGGTTATCCTGCTTTCAGTAATCAAAGAATCCCAAAGAAAATTATAGAAGGGTTAAAATCACCCTAACCCTCTGGTACTTTTGGGCTGGCGACTAATTAAATTTTTTTGTATTTATTTTATAAATTAGTCATAAATTATTTTAGAATTAGTTATTTCATCCTAATAACCTAAAATAATTTTTAAAATTTGTAGTTTTTTGTTAGTATGTTTAAAAAAAAATTTATTATATAACTCGAGTGAATTGTTTATATCAACTCTTGTTGCACAAACTATTATTTCCTTCGAAACTATGCGAAATAAGGAGTTTTTACAAGAGTCATAAATGAAGATGATGAGTAAGCCTTTCCGTTAAAAAAGACTTACCGTACTATCACCCCTAAGAAAACTAAAAAAAATTACTAGAGGGTGAGGATAATTTGTGCTTTTAATCCTTCTACAATTTACTTTAAATGTCTTCGATTACTGAAAGTAGGGTAATAATAATAATAATAATTGTACCTTCCTACTTCACCCCCTTACGAGTGAATTTTAAACCCTGAAAGGCGACAGAGCTTGTGTTTGGAAGGGACCGCTATTATTATTATTATTATTATTATTATTATTATTATTATTATTATTATTATTATTATTATTATTATTATTATTATTAATTATTATTATTATTATTATTATTATTATTATTATTTATTATTATTATTATTATTATTATTATTATTATTATTATTATTATTATTATTATTATTATTATTATTATTATTATTATTATTATTATTATTATTATTATTATTATTATTATTATTATTATTATTATTATTATTATTATTATTATTATTATTATTATTATTATTATTATTATTATTATTATTATTATTATTATATTATTATTATTATTATTATTATTATTATTATTATTATTATTATTATTATTATTATTATTATTATTATTATTATTATTATTATTATTATTATTATTATTATTATTATTATTATATTATTATTATTATTATTATTATTATTATTATTATTATTATTATTATTATTATTATTATTATTATTATTATTATTATTATTATTATTATTATTATTATTATTATTATTATTATTATTATTATTATTATTATTATTATTATTATTATTATTATTATTATTATTATTATTATTATTATTATTATTATTATTATTATTATTATTATTATTATTATTATTATTATTATTATTATTATTATTATTATTATTATTATTATTATTTATCTTAGTTGAAATAGTCATATTGACGTTCTTTGTTCAAGACTTTCTACGCAGTTATTTGCTCTCACACAAATGCGAAATGTACTCAATGCAACACCATTAAAAACGGTTTATTATGGAATATTTCATAGTCAACTTATCTACGGCGCTGTGCTATGGGGAAATTCCAGTCACGCACACAAGGTTTTTGTCCTACAGAAGGCTGCAGTACGCATTGTTGATGGTGCAGAGTATGATACGCCTTGCAAGGCCCTATTCAAAAAACATCGAATACTGCCTCTGCCATGCGTATACATACTCGAAAATCTGGTCAATATTCACGGTAGTCTTGATAAATATAATAGGCATGCCGATGTTCACGATCATAACACAAGGATCAACAATAATCTAGTGCTCCCGAAATCTAGGTTATGTATAACCCAAAAAAATAAATTAAACATCAAAGTTTATAATTTTTTCTTAGAACTGTTTAATAATTTAAATGTTATGTCACTAACTACCAAAAAAATCCAGAAAATAGCTAGAGATTTCTTACTTGAGGAGTGTTTTTATTCAGTTGAGGAATTTCTAAATTTTAAAAAAACTTAATTTACCTATTGTCATTTTAATTTATTTGTAAAAGAACTGTTTGCGATGTACACTTGAAGTGTTTTGTTTTTAGTATTTGTCTATTTATGTATTTTATTTTTTATATGGTACCTATTTGTTTTTTTATTGTACATTTAAATATTTTTTTAACTATTGACAATTTTATTTTTATCTTCTATTAATTTGATTGACTGACTATATGATATATTTTAACGTGTAATTGTAATTTGAATTTTAGACGTTGTGACCCTTATGTACTATTGTTGTATGAATTTCTGGTCAATAAATATCTATCTATCTATCTATCTATTATTATTATTATTATTATTATTATTATTATTATTATTATTATTATTATTATTATTATTATTATTATTATTATTATTATTATTATTATTATTATTATTATTATTATTATTATTATTATTATTATTATTATTATTATTATTATTATTATTATTATTATTATTATTATTATTATTATTATTATTATTATTATTATTATTATTATTATTATTATTATTATTATTATTATTATTATTATTATTATTATTATTATTATTATTATTATTATTATTATTATTATTATTATTATTATTATTATTATTATTATTATTATTATTATTATTATTATTATTATTATTATTATTATTATTATTATTATTATTATTATTATTATTATTATTATTATTATTATTATTATTATTATTATTATTATTATTATTATTATTATTATTATTATTATTATTATTATTATTATTATTATTATTATTATTATTATTATTATTATTATTATTATTATTATTATTATTATTATTATTATTATTATTATTATTATTATTATTATTATTATTATTATTATTATTATTATTATTATTATTATTATTATTATTATTATTATTATTATTATTAATATTATTATTATTATTATTATTATTATTATTATTATTATTATTATTATTATTATTATTATTATTATTATTATTATTATTATTATTATTATTATTATTATTATTATTATTATTATTATTATTATTATTATTATTATTATTATTATTATTA